GCAGGCTTCGAGACGACGTCACTCTGTCTGCCCTGATGAAGGAACCCTGCGTGGTTCCGAAACGTTGGCTATTGAACACAAGTGACATGCTTCAATAAAAAGAAAGCTTTGGATTTATTTCATCCCTTGAGTGCTGGTGATCATCATTGCTGTGTACTCTGTAGGCGCCATCCGTGGACATCACTACAAGCACCACCATTGCTTTTGGTCTTTATTGCTGCATGGTGTGCAGGGGACTTCTTCGTTTATTGATTTGATTTTCATACAGGTACAAGTCAGTAGCACAGGTACAAGTCAGTAGCACAGTAAAGCATTCTTAAAATAGAAAGTATTCCCATGTCCCATTCCATCACATATCCCAAAATGAATTCCTCATTTCAGGACAGTGGGCGGAGCCATGTAAATCATTCAGCCAGATGCACATTCTGTGTGTTGTGCAAATATAACCTAATATATAGAGACATATTACTCCTGCATACAGGTGTTTCAGACTTCTTGGCCATCATCAGTGTAGTGTAAAGGTGGCCATACACTTTACAACCACAATGCTGAACGGGCGTGCGCACACCAGCCTGTTCAGCATTTGTCTCCCGAGCATCGTTCTAGCATGCTCCTTAGACAAAAGACGTGCGACTGTACAGTAGAAACGGTCGCACGTCTTCATTCACACTGCACGATTCTCGTACGATCGGGGGATTTCCCGCGATTCTCGTACAAGAATCGTGCAGTGTATGGGCACCTTTAAGAAGCCATGACTTCTATGATATGTGATTTATTTATTTATTACAGGTATTTATATAGCGCCAACAATTTGCGCAGCGCTTTTACATACTGTACATTCACATCAGTCCCTACCCTCGAGGAGCTTACAATCTAAAGTCCCTATATCAGATGCATACATAGAGGGCCAATTTTACCTTCAAGCATCTCTTTGGAGTGTGGGAGGAAACCGGAGTACCCGGAGGAAACACAGGGAGAACATGCAAACTCCTTGGCCAGGATTCAAACCAGGAACCCCCAGTGCTGCAAGGCAGAAGCGCTAACGCATGTGTGTTACGATGTGATGTGTGATGACACATATGATGAGATGCAAATGCAAATATTTAAAAAAACTGACCATAAACAAAGGGACGAGATGCTCACACTGACGTCATTGATCTTATATGGCCACAAAGCCATCTAAAGTGAATGTCATTGATCAAATATAGCCATGTGGCCGTATAAGGTCAATGATGTCACAGCATCCCGCCCCTTTGTTCACATGCAGCTGGGGACAGGGAATTTCCCGGCCACAGCTGATTGGGTGGCAGCGGAGGGAGCTTCCTTCTGTGTTCGGATGAACTCAGGTTCAGGACCGGTTCAGACCCAACCTGATCTCATCCCCAGTTATAAGTAACAGGACATTGATGCTCTTTGCGTCTGTTAGGTAAAAGCGAATACTTACATTGTGTCTGACTGTCCGACATTTCTCCTTTTTACAGCCTGTCTATATTACGTGATATCCCAGATCTGAGCCGCAGGGAACGCGCAGAGCTGAGGCGCCGGACCCTCCTCCTCCTCTATTACCTGCTGCGGTCACCATTTTACAACCGATATACAGAGTGAGTCACTGTTGTATATATACATAGAGACATAGCCACACGAAGTCCTGTTTTATCTAGTTGATCTTATATGTAATGCAGCAGTCATAAACTTCAGGCAGATAGAAAAGAAACACTTTGAAAAGCGCTCTGCATTCATTTCATGCATATACGTTTAAATGCAAGCAGTGTACGTACCTGAATCTGACTTGGTATTGGCCTGTTGCAATTAAATGCACAGCAGAGCTGAAACTTGGAGAGGGAGAAGCAGCTCAAGGAGCCAAATTGTTCATGTACTGACAAAGGACACGCTGAGAGGAGGTGACAGGGAGATGAGCTCCTCAGTCTGATGCTTCTTCCTTCACTGTCTGGTCACAAGCTGGGGGAGGGGCAAGACCTGCAAGTGGTACTTAACTGCAAGAGAGCATTTCTTTCTTTTTTCTTTTTTTAGTTTTGCACTGTGGAAGAAGAGTTTCCATTCATTCTTTTCAGCTTTTATTGATGTTGTGTACTGATTAAGACAATTTTCCCTTTATCTGTTTAAAGTGTATATGTCACTGAGGACACACTGGCACCTGGGGGTCCCAGAACAATGCCACACTGACACTTGGGGGGGTCCCAAAACAATAATACACTGACACTTGGGGGTCCCAGAATATAACATGTTGACACTCGGGGGTCTCAGAGCAATGACACACAGACACTTGGAGGTCCCAGGATATGACATGCTGACACTTGGGGGTCCCAGAACATTGACACACTGACACTTGGGGGCCCCAGAACAATGACGCACTGACACTTGGGGGCCCCAGAACATTGACACACTGACTCTTGGGGGTCCCAGAACAATGACACACTGACACTTGGTGGTCTCAGAACATTGACACACTGACACTTGGGGGTCCCGAGAAGTCAGTAGAGTGCAGTGTTCCATGTTAGTTAGTAAAAGTGACAGAGTAGAACCCAATCACTAAAATCTTATAACAGCTGTAATATAATTCAAAAGTTGCTTTCAAATCTGGAGCTTTTATTACACTAATACTCGGTGATCCTGCCATGAAGGTCTTTGTTCAGGAAATTCCCGTTTATGGGGTGACAACTGTCCCCCCCTTTGCATTGCCATCCAGTCACAAGGAGCCCCACTAACGCACAATACAGATATGATCTACCATTGGCGCTATCAGGAAACCTACCTGGAGCAATGATGTGAAGCCACCGCTTAAACAAATACATGTTGGGAGGAATTGGCTTAAAGCTGATCTCTAGGTACGTAAACCTTCACTCAGATATATTCCTCCATAGCCACAGAGGATATAAATCCACTCTGTGTGCACTGTATGTATGTGAAAACCCAGATATCACCTTGTGAAAAGTATCAGTGACATCATCACTATGCTGTACATAACCTGTGCAGAGAGCAGGACTGTGGGAGAGACCCAGCAGGCCCCACCCACTCCAGAAAAGGAGGGGGCGGAGACAAGACTGGTCACCCTGCACAAGAGGAGAGAGAAGCAGTGACCGGTCTTTTATGTAGGTAAACGTTTCACACTGGATTACTGCACAGATCTGGAAGAAGTACACAAAGCTCACCAAGACTCCAGGAGGAATACACACGAGACAATATTTGCTTATCACAGAGTTCAGCTTTGATGGAGTTGGAGGAGATCAGTGACACTGAGAAGTAAAAATGGGAATTGTTTCTGGTACACGGTGCTTTAGCACACTAGACATCCTCTACTTGGGGTTTAGAAGTTCTTTAACCTTCTCTGTATTCCTCCTATAGAATTCGGTTGCTCCTCCTCCTGCGCCTTCTAGGGGATTACGTCCCAGGACTCGGGCTGGTGGCACGTAAGTCATAGAATGATTGACTTTTAAAGGGATATTTGTAATATTTCAGCCCTGTAACCCTTTGTTTGATCCCAGGTCCCCTCATGGATTACCTCCCCGTCTGGCAGAAGATTTACTTCTATAACTGGGGCTGAGGACGTCCTGCCGGGTTACGCAATCTGCAGCTGGGCTCTGCTGGTGGGTTTCCCCACAGGCCGGACAAAGCATGGACCATCATCCCACGTACCACGATGGGTGCCGATCATGGGACACAACGGCCAAATGGTCGTACACGGAAGTGTGACTTTTTTTTTATTACTTCATTGCAAAACTGTGACTCTGCTCCCCGCCCTGTCACATGACCAGAACTGCACTCGCTCTCCTCCTTTTCTACCACCAGGGGCAATGTCATTGGATCATGTGACCTTAGAATGGCATGGGGTGATGGGAATAAAATGTGACCTGACCAAGCTAAGAGTTGGTGTACACGGGTGTTTGTGCATTTTTGTAGGATCGGGTACAGAGCACTTTTAAAGCTGAACTCCGACCTTCTGTTCACAGTTGTACTGGCTCCTCTCCTGGACTGGAATGGCTTCCTCTGATTTCACTGCACACTGAGAGCCTCTCATAATGTGCATTAGAAGCTGCAGCAAGTCAGATAGAACCTGCCTCATTTCCTGGCTGGAGGACCTCCAGCATCCTCTAACCCAGGGGTAGGCAAACTCAGCATTGCAGCTGTTGTTGAACTACAAGTCCCATGAGTCATTGCAAGACTGACAGAAACAGGAAAGTCTCCCAGAGACAGATGCATGATAGGATTTGTGGTTTCAGCACAGCTGGAGTTGCCCACCCCTGCCTTAGAGGAATATGAAGGCTGCCTTTTCAGACTTGTCATTCTGCAACAGCTAGTTTCCTGACACCAATACATGGCAGCATACAATGGGTATGGCTCCACCCCATTGTATGCTGCCATGTATTGGCATCAGGAAAGGAAAATTATCGATAGGTAAGTATACAATTTTCCGTTTTCCTGGCTGTCATGTTGACTCTCTTGTCTCAGTACATTGAGAAACAAGCAGGTTGAGAGACTTCTGACTCGGCTTTGACTTGCCTGATGCATACTTGTTCTAGCTCAGCGCCTCAAAGTATTGAATTCAAGGGGTTCGCATAACAGCCAGGCAACTAACATGTTCATAAGTTTGTTAGCAATGGTGACTTTCATAGTTGTTGTACCTTCATCCTTCAGGTTACTGACTCAAACCAAGTATGCAGCAAGTGAAGTCAGAGCTCCTGGTTGGTATACCTTTCCCAGGTCAGGGGCCAAGAATGTAGTGCAGTCGTTGCATCAGAATGACAGCCAGGTAATGTGGTCAGCAATGGCAGCTGGTCAGCAATGGCAGCTCCATATTACTATTGGTTTTCTTTAATGTATCTGTCATCAGAACATTAACCATGAGAACATGAGAAGAAGGGTCTTCTGTTGGTCTGTCCGGATTCTTGGATATTAACGAGCTTTAGCAACCAGATTCCAGTGTAGGTTAGGAAAAAAGCAAGCATCTGATTGGCTGCTGTGGGCATCCCCCTCTTATCTTCCTTTTCTGTACACGGGGCATGCATTGTTCTCATTGGTTACAATGTTTTCTAACCGGTAATGCAAGTGATTCAAAATCCTAAAAGAAGGTGCCTTGCTAAAGAAGAGGTGTTATACTCGCCTCTCTGGTGGCCAATGTCTCCTACCTCCCCTCTGTACCAGCACTGCAGCCTCCGTCGTTACACTCATAGGAGTGTCAGATGCCCATTTCCCCTGCCGTGTGCCCTGGTTCCATCCTCCACCCTCTTTGTCACTGCTGAGTCCTGTAGTGACATAGGGGCCGGAGGACCCAGCAAGGTACGAGGCCATCTGATTCTCCTAGAAGTGAGTCCAAACAAGGCAGCAGCATTGGAAAAGAAGTGAAGGAAGAAGACACAGTCTGCCGGAAAGGGAAGTATGCTACATATTCCATTGCCGGAGAGCTCTTTAGGGACCTGACAGGGTCTCTTTAACAAGCCTCAATGCTTAAAAAAAAAATGAACATTCACTATTTATGAATGACAAGGCACACCGTATGCACATGTTTGTTGTGATGTGCTGAAGTGCAGTGGCATTTTGTTTATACTGTACATGTGCCATTGCTGAACCCTCTTTGGTTGTGTAATATTAAAAATAATGTAATATTATCAAATGTAATACTGGGAAAACACCACATTATGGCCACTAGATGGAGCTGAGGAGCATAGGAAAGAAGTATGTGTTTCCTATGCTCCATCTAGTGGCCATAATGTGGTATTTTCTAAATATTACATTTGACTTGGAAAGAAAATATACCAAGACTGAGAGAACCGGAGCTGTTCAGTAAGTGGTTGGACAAAAATGTGAAGAAATACTTTGCTGGGCAATGTATATTTGTTTAAACCAAATTCATTATTGAAAAGAGTTTGCGAGTTTAATGCTACTTTAGGATGTCACGTTTCCATGCATGGGTTAGTGAATAAAAGAAGAACTGTAGGATTGATTACTATAAACAACTGGAGCTTTTCTGCACACTTTTATTAGGCCCATAGAGATTCATGAGAATGCCCATAGCAAGCGGAATCTTCCTTTTCACAACTTACAAACATAAAAAACCTGATGGGTTACAATGCTTGACACAGTGATTCCTTTAGAGATCTTCAGTCATGAGACCTGATGTGGGGGGGGGGCATACCCGATACTTGCGATCTATGTAAGGAGAAAGTGTGGTCTGAAGAGCGTAACAGCCCAGACCTCTAGGTCACTGACGGTATGAATAAACATGTCCTTCATTTTCTAAGCTATATTCCAAGCATCAACTTTACCTAAAACCCAAATCAAACCTTTTTTTTTTAGTTTGGATATTATGGGGAAGGGTAAGAAAAGAGGCCAAATGAAACAACCACCTCTGACCAGGGGTGGAGACCTTTGACGCCATCTTTCTTCCACATATAATGCTGTTTTAACATCTCTATACCATGGGGACAGAACCATGGGGACAGAACATGTCACTCCTTCAGCCATGTAAACCCAGTCGTGGAGACGAGGAGTGGGTCCGGTTTGTAGTACTGTACCTCCTGTACATTACAGGAAGTTGTTGGACGTGCAGACAAGGAGTGGGACTGGTTCGTAGGACTGTACCTCCTGTACATTACAGGAAGTTGTGGAGACGTGGAGTGGGTCTGGTTCGTAGGACTGTACCTCCTCTACATTACAGGAAGTTGATAGACGTGCAGATGAGTGGGTCTGGTTCGTAGTACTGTACCTCCTGTACATTACAGGAAGTTGTTAGTCGTGGGTCCGGTTCGTAGTACTGTACCTCCTGTACATTACAGGAAGTTGTTGGACGTGCAGACAAGGAGTGGGTCTGGTTTGTAGTACTGTACCTCCTGTACATTACAGGAAGTTGTGGAGACGTGGAGTGGGTCTGGTTCGTAGGACTGTACCTCCTGTACATTACAGGAAGTTGATAGACGTACAGATGAGTGGGTCTGGTTCGTAGTACTGTACCTCCTGTACATTACAGGAAGTTGTTAGAGGTGCAGACGAGGAGTGGGTCTGGTTCGTAGGACTGTACTAGAACTGAGAGGTTCCATAACTTCCCCACTTCCCATTCTGACCTTAGATAAAACACAGCTGCGTCAACGATTCACAGTGATATCAGCCACCGCGGCAGAGGGATTTGTACTTCTCAATGGTGTACAAATGCGGTGATATCACCATACTTGTAGTCCATTCATTCTTCCTCCCCTTCCTGTTACTGAATGCCTGTACTCAGTATGTATATGTGTGCATTTATTTATTTTTGTAAAGGTGGACTTTACCTTTAATTGCTGTCTAAATCTCCATGGGGTATTTCTCCTCACTTCCTGTCCTGGTGACAGGTGTTGACAAAACAGGAAGTGAGGGAGGAACTCTTAAACAGGGATGCGAACAGCTATAACAATAGGAAAGTGGTTCTAACCCTTTCCCATTCTATCCAAAAGGTATACAATGTTTTGTATGGAGTTGGGTTTTGGTAAAAAATACTTATATATACCGGGTCTATCGCCATCACTGTCCTACCGTTAGAGCTCAGGGACATCATTTTTAGGACACCTGTAACTATTTTGAATTGAGACCTCACGAGTCCGTACGCATTCATACGATCCTGAACTTCAGTAACACCACAGATGCACTTGGATCTCTATTTGGTTAAGGCAGAGTTCATGGCCATAGGAATGTGCATATATTATGTGCTTCTTCTTCAAAAGAGTCAGATGATACTTGGAAATGAAGGCCTTGTTATGGTGAAGGTCAGTAACTGAGGGACTGCCTAGTTAAAGTACCGCTCTGTATTCTATGTAAAGAAACGTGTAATGTACGTTTAGTCAACCTTCTCGTTTTTCACTGGCAGCCAGGAAAGCCAAAGTCAAAATTTGGTGGAGGATCTGTACTCTTGAGTTCAGGTTTGAAGAACACTTACAATCTCTGACACATTGTGCACACCATATCAGCCCTTGTCCCTCATATACTACAGTCTATCGAATAATAGATAGATAGATAGTATAACTCCACCCACTTTTATCCGCATAGGGTGCCCATACATGGGCTAGTCTTGACAAGCAATGAGTCTGATTTGAGTGTCTCTTCTGGTAATTGGGCCAGTATAAAGGCTCCTTAGGGGGACTACGATGGGTGCTTTTAGCTATCAAAAGCACTTGTTATCAGACACAGAAGTTATGGAACCTCTTTCTGCACCAGTACTTCTTTTTTTCTATGAGAGCTGTAATTGCCTGTGTACCCATTGACCAAATCAAAGTGAGCTACGCAATGGTCCAGGTGCCATGTGTGATAGCAATGCAATTAGAGATGGGCAGATGACATCATCCATCATTATGATGGAGAAATGCAGCCATGGAGGGGGTATATCTGTCTGTTCTTAATCATGTCACTGCATTGCCGGTGACCACCTTGAATGGCAAACCAATAGGCTAGAAAGAGCAAGGCTGTACACTTCATCCTCCGCACCTCACCATAGAATGATGAAGGCCTATCCACCATAGAATTGCCTGTGACCACTATGAATGCCAAACCAATAGACTATAAAGAGAAAGGCTGTACACTTCATCCTTCGCACCTCACCATAGAATAATGAAGGATGAGAGCCCAGCTTTCATGTCGCTCCATTTGCCAGTGACCACCATGAATGGCAAACCAATAGACTATATTGAGCAAGGCTGTACTCTTCATCCTTCTCACCTCGACATAGGATGATGAAGGCCTATCCTTCCCGTGGCTCCGATGCCAGTGACCACCATGAATGCCAAACCAATAAACTATAAAGAGCAAAGCTGTACTCTTCATCCTTCCCTCCTCACCATAGAATGATGAAGGATGAGATCCCATCCTTCATGTGTCTCCATTGCCAGTGACCACCATGAAAAGCAAACCAATAGACTATAAATAGCAAGGCTGTACTCTTCATCCTTCCCGCCTCACCATAGAATGATGAAGGATGAGGGCCCATCCTTCATGATGCTCCATGGCCAGTGACAACTATGAATGCTAAACCAATAAAGAGCAGGGCTGTACTCTTCATCTTTCCCTCCTCCTCACCATAGAATAATGAAGGATGAGGGCTCATCCTTCATGTTGCGCCACTGCCAGTAACAACCATGAATGCCAAACCAATAGACTATAATGAGCAAGGCTGTACTCTTCATCCTTCTCACCTCACCATAGAATGATGAAGAATGAGGGCCATTTCTACAGGAATTTTCCACAAGGTTGGAGATGCTTAGTGTCAGCCTCTTTATCATCTCAAGCCGTGCTCTAACTTAGTACATAGATGATAAAATTGGGCTGTTTATTGCCACACTAAGCTTGATTTATATAAACAAGCACCGAGGAACAGAGGTCTCATGATTCAAAGTGTTTGAAGGAGAAATGATGTCGCCTCTAGCAAACAATCATCAATTAATCTTCCAGCTCTCCCCCTTGAGGCTGGAAAGAACCTGGAAGCTAGAAGCAACGAAGCACCATTTAGATCATAAGGTCCAATATGACTATTGTCCATAGTGACCAGATTCCCACTATAGTGCAACCTACACAGTGAAAGCTTACACCAGCTTGGTAACACTATATCTCCTTCCGAGTAGTTCTTGTGATAGAGCTTCACTACGTCTGTCTCACTTTTCACATACGTCATGTCTGTTTCACTATGTAATGCAGCGACACGCTCTCTGTTACTAATATACAGTTTAATACACGCAATCATTTGCTAGCCCTCTCTCTTTAAATAAATACTATAATTCTCCATACACAGTGTCTTAATACAAAGTCTGTTGGCTTGCAAAGCCAGCGTGCACTCTTCCACTCCCCTTCCTCGTTCAGTTGGTTTCTTCCTCCTCTTACATTTTGCACGTGCTGGAACATTCCACTTGCAGTACATGGGGGAGTGCTTTAGTCCACTTGTACCCTCTGATCCTTGATTATGTAGACGTGGGTTAAGGGCAGATCCAAGAAGGGAGAAGGTTAATGGGGAAAGTTATATGAAGGAACCACCCTTGATCACCTTGGCCGACATTCACACAACCAGTCCTCCCAGTTCCTCACGACTGAGATGAGAGCAGGCCTCTGGCCTATCGCTCATCTCAAAGTTTGGCAGGTTCCTGCTCACGCTTAGTCCATGCACAGAACAGATTTCCGTGTTCCGTATCCATGGCTACTCCAGATATATATCTTCTGTGGGGCATGTGAATTCCACAAACTCTTTGTAAAACTGTTGAAAGGCTCTTCTATGGAAAAAGAGAGAAGACTGCCATTAGAAAAGAGCGCACTATTGTCTCCTTGACTTGTTCATTGAATGGGAAACATTTAGGAATGTATTACAGTGTGTGAAAAGGTCTACTGAGAAGGGATCCTGAGTGTCATCAGATGTTACCGAGTGCGAGGATGATACAACTCCCAAAAGCTTGCATCTTAAAGGGGGCCTTCACCCATAAAAGTAACACCCTCTCACCTGCTGTCTCTCCCTTTCCTCTTACACAATAAAAAAAAAATGAACAAAAAGATACTTTTATTTTCATCTTTCTTTTATACATTTACTTCTTCTGTCCCCACCTAGGCCACACATCACAGGAGGTAGTTTTTGATGTCACAAGCACATACATGCCATGGGTCCCTGCCAGGTCTGTCTGCGGGACCTGGCAGAGACCATCGGCATTGTCATGGTAACCGATACCTAGATTCAGGGGTACCCTCTGTGACTAAGGCCCCGTTCACATCTGGGCGCTTTGTCCAGCGTTTTTTTACACGCTGAGACGCATGCAAATCAAAATCCTATGTATCCTATGGGGGCTGTCCACGCAAGCGCACTGAATCGCGCATAAAAATACGCCCGTTGTTCAAAAAAGTCCATGAGATTCTTTTGTAGCCCTTATCAGCCCGTTTTGCTCCATAGACTTCAAAGGAAACGCCCTGGTGTGAATGGGGTCTAACAGCATCTCTGCCCGCACACCACTCTCTCTCAGCTGCATACATTCACCCAGTCACTGGTTGGGACGCAGTGTATGGGAAAAAACGTGTGTGTACGGTCATGAGGTGCCTTCCCACTTCCTGATTGGTCAGGAAGCCAGGTTGCCTTATAAATACTGTATAATAATAATAATTGATATGTGTTTACTCTCTGTGCACTGATCTTGTCAGTGTTCTCAGTTATAAGTAACTCCACTAGGGGGCACTCCAATCTTACACATGGTCATACTATTCTGGATGTTTTGACAGCCAAGCAGTCCGATTGATGCATGCGAGATGCACATGTGCTCTTACTAGCTTGCTGCCCAGAGACTTACCCAACTGATTCTGCCATGGGTTTGGTAGATTCCTCAGAGACAAATACGTGACATGCAAACCGATGGTCTGAAGGATGCTTAGTGATAAAGCCAAAATATCTGCGAAAAAGAAAGGAACAAGTAGCAAATGTCTACACGGAATAACAGGAACTAAACACTCCAGCAGCCCATTCCCCTCATTACTCACTTGCTGTTCTTAGGGTGGTAGCCACAGAAAGATATATTCTTTAACTGGAAGAAATGGCTGCATGTGTTCACCTGTTAAGGAAACAAAAGAGGGGTATTTAAAATGTTTAAAGGAGAACTATGGGGTTAAGGCTTTTCCCCATAGTTCTCCTTAGGGTAACGGGAGAACACAAACTAGCGTCCTCCCGTCAGCCTAAGGCCCCGTTCACATCGAGAGATTTATCGCTCTCCAATGCTTCTCAATGGGGCAAAGGGTCCTGCTGTCGCGGGTCGTGCGTCGCTACAGCAGGACCCTTTTTGGAGCGGATTTAGCCGCGATTCAAGCTTGCTCAATGCAAGCATTTGCGCGATATCGCGCAAAATGCAAATCGCACGACAAACGCGCGATTTGCGAACCGCTCAATGTGAACGGGGCCTAAGCTCACTATACCGCGAGCTACGACTCGCGATATACTGAGACGCCGCAGCCGGAACGGATCCCGACAATTATGTCTGGATCCGCCCAGCTGCGTGAGTGACGGCAGGCTCTGCCTATCTAGAGGCAGAGCCAGCTGTACCCGCCCCCTCCCCCGTCCGTTCCGCCAGTCAGGGCTGGCGGATCGGAGCGGTGAGGGGGGAATCCAGCCCCTCCCCTGTCACGGCAGAGAGCCGTGACAGGATGGAGAGGTGAGCGAACGCCGGTATGTGTTCGCTCACTTCTCGATCTACTGAGCAGACCTGTGACAGTCTCATTGTCACAGGTCGGCTAGAACTATGAGGTGAGTGAAAAGCACTCATCTCATAGTTCTCCTTTAAGTAATAAAAAATGACATCCTCCTTGGTGATCTGTGTGATTTACTAACGTGTGTTTAAAAATGTGCACAGAGTCATAGATCACATTCTCAGCAAGAGCCTGCTGGCAATTAAAATGACTTAAAGCGGAAATGACTGAAAAACAAATAAAATTGCAAACAGGCATGCTCTTTATTGTAAAAGAAACATAGCGGGGGGAATTTATCAAAACTGGAGCAGGCAGAATCTGGAGCACTTGCCCATAGCAACCAATCAGCTTCTCTCTTTAATATGGTCAGTTAAGCTTTGAAATTGAAAGATAGAAGCTGATTGGTTGCCATGGTCGACTGCTCCAGATTCTGTCTGCTCCAGTTTTGATAAATTCCCCTCAGCATGTCTCTTCTGCAACAAAACAAACCTACCGGCCTGTTTGCAATCTTC